TGAGTGCATCAGTGTGTCCAGCTGGAACAAACACACACATAAAAAGCAGGGGTGCGGAAATAAAAAACAGACCGACAAAATGTTCGAGACAACCGAAGGAGAAGAAGACAAACAGTGCATGGACATAAATACGTCTCTAACCAGCTTTTAAAAGGATGGGATTTTCATGTGGCCTCACCCTGCCTATCTGAATGTCAATCATAGAGGCACAGGCAGCTGATCAATATTCCAGCTGCTTCCTGGAAAGGTTACGTACATTGCTGCTGCTGCGTGAGAGTTGTTTTCCTGCCTCCTGCAGGAATCACACTGTTTTAAATCATGCCGACAAGTCGGTACGGTGCTGCACTGGTTTGCAGAAAATCTCATGGGCAAAGCAGTTGACCCACAACCTTGCCCTTTGTCCCTTGTTCTATTCCGCCAATGACAATAATTTAGACGAGTGTCTTTAGTGCTGAGGTGTTGCAACATAGACAGCATAGACAGCTCCAAGTACATTCCTGCATGTAATAAGCAAAACACTGCTGATAACATGCAGATATTTTTCCAGCACACTGACATGAAAAACCTCAGATACTTAAAAAAACACAGAGCTGTTCATATCAACTCACACATGTATAATCTTCCCTTAATAAAGTACAGATTCTCTTGTTCTTTGTTTTATATGAAGTTTGCAGCATGTATATGAAATAAATCATCCTTTTTCCCACTTCTCCTTCTGATCTGTACAAATACACAACCACAGAAGCGGCAAGAGCTGTGGATAAAAGACCATTAATTCTTGTTTGGAGTTAGCTTTTCTCCTTGTGCTCAAAACAGAAATTAATCAATATTAATATCCCTTCTCTCTTGTGCACTACATTTGTTTTGCGATGGGCCGTCCTCAGCTGAAGACATATTCGGGTTGCAGTCTACATATTTGTGTAACGGATCAGGGACAGCAAGGTAGAATAATAATAAGGGAATATTTCTTACTGTGAGTTGAACCACATTTTGATGCTTCAGCATAGCTTGCACTATATTAAAGTGCAATTGAGTCAGGGTTGCTTTTTAGACCTCACGTAACCTCTGACCGCCCTTTGGAGGGGGGGCAAAAGGAATGATATCTCACTCTATGTTATTATTCCTTATACTGTATTTGAGTCTAACAGTAGATTTGACCAGTTAACTGAGTAGCTGGCTCCAAAAAACGATTCCACTGGGGATGTCTGAGGGTCCCGTAGGAACAGTAACACATCATCTGCATAAAGGCATATTTTGTTCTGTCTGGTGGGTGTTTTTATAGCCTTGATAACTGCATCAGCAGACATATGCAGCTCAATGAGTACTTCAAAGAGTAAGGGAAAATAAGGGCATCCCTGCCTTGTCCTCGTGTGCAACTACAGCAGTCTGCCCCGTGGTGGGAATAGTGGCTGTATGTTGTGTGACGAGCCCTCCTCCAATTAATAAATGATTCAGCGGAAACAGGGTTTTCCGTGCATCTTCTAGCCGCATACAGCTGAAACAGGTGCTTCTCAGCTCTACTGTAATAAATAATTTACCCCACGCTTTTTTTTTTTTTTTTACATTTGCGAAAATAATTTTAATTCCAATGCGCGGAGATATCTAAAGCTCTGTAGGTTTCAACTGGCATCTGATATTCCTGTCTTCTGTTAAATGTTGCTAGATGCAAGATCTGCTTTTTTTCTTTCCATTTCTCATGAGTACAGAAAAGTTGTGTCTTTTGTACACAGTGAGAGAGTTGAAATGAAAACCGCAAGATTGTACTAACTCATCCAGCTTTTCATTCATTAGGACCTCACAGCTCGAGGGCTTTAACCTCCCAAACATCAGTCGCTTTGATCTGATCCTCGAGCTGAAAAACAATCTAATTTTTCGTCTTATTTTCTTCTATTAACAAGAACAGTCTCACTGCACGTCTTCAGAAGAGAATATGGTTTATTTGATGTTCTGCTATTGTCAACCCCCGGCCTTCTTTCTTCTCCCTTTGCTCTTCTCTCCCCTTTCTCTACAGCAGCTTCAACGGAAGCTGAACCAATTCATTAGAAGGCCCAGAAAGTCAATTATGGTAATAGTTCCCTGTGCTGGAGGAGGTAAAACTCGGCAAAGCCAGCTACTTTTTTATTGCACTTCTTCTACATACTCTTCTATATATTTTATTTAGGCCTCATTTATACGTGCAAATTGGTCCTCTGAAGTGCAAAGGGTGAAAATGTGGGGAAGTAGGGGGGAGAGGAAAGGATGAACAGGGAGGCGTTGGCTCCCAATCTTCCACACAGAGCTGAGTAAAAGTGATGATGGAGGAAGGGTAAACCTAGTGTCAGGAGACTATCCACAGGAATCCCTCTTACTTATTCATGCAGCAGCTGAGCATCAGGGAATCTCCCAGCCTCATTATGAAATGAGTATTTGCAGAAGCTCACACAACAGTGGAGCTCTTGCTTAAAAGCCTCTGCTTATCCACTCCACTCTCCTCCCTTCTTCATCTCTTTTTTAGATCAGATCACTCTAGGGAAGCAATGTCATGCTTCATTCATCGAGACGCCTCTCCCACTATCCTAAATCCCTCTCCCCTTTTTTTTTTTTTTTCTGAAAGGGAAAGCTTGCCTATAAAAAGTTTGTGTCGCTGGCATGGAAGAAGGCAGATGGCTGAGCTAAAGTTTGCTTTTACTTATCATCTGTTTCTGTGCCAACGTGATTGACAAGCTCAAACATGAAGACGCTGCACCACTGTGAAACCAAGCTACATTTGAAGACAAAACATATATGCACTCCAATTAAAAAATGCACACATACGCCATGCCCATTGCAGATGCTATAAATAGACTTTTCAACTTATCTTGACTCCCAAGTGATTGTTGTCGTGGCTTAACATCCATAAGTCGGCTCGGCAGAGAGGAAAACTTGGCATTTAAAAAACTTGGAGCATTTCCAAAACCAAAGGCTCAAGGCAGAAAGGATAAGGATGGTTTTAAATGGTGTTTTTTTTTATCTAGTGCATGCACCCTTAGCTGGTGAGTTTTTGCAGTCATTTAGCATAGCATCATGTATGCAGCCATCAAGTGCATATTTAATACAGCAGTTGAAGGACATTTAAAAGTGAGTCATCTGGAAATATTAAAAAGGCAGCGTTTTCAACTAATTCACTTTTTATCTTCATTTCCAGAGTGCCTCTATTGGTGCTACTCAGGCATACAGCTTAATTTGAAAGCGGATTAAGATTCCACACAAGATAACTGAATCTCCGCTGTACCCCTGCTGCACCCTGCTTCCACGTATCTCTCAGTTCAAAGGTTACCCCGTGATGCGCCAACTCATTTCACAGTGCAGGTGGAGACTATTTGTATTTCTGTCTCGTATGATGCCACCTCGACGCCGCGTCGCTCTCCCTGATTCATTTCTGTGCCTTCTTCCTCGGGCTCATGGAGATGGGGGGGAAAAAAAGAAAAAAGAGCAAGGCCTCTTTACTGGAGCTCGGCAGCCACCATTAAAGTGACTAGGTTGACCCGTGGCATGAAATTAAAGAGCTGAGGCCCATTGAGCAGCCTCAGCTGATAGAGGCTGAGGATAATAAATCCAAGGGAGGGAAGAGTGGAGGTAGGTTAAGAACGAGGGAAGGGGAGATGGGGGGGGATGGATGTGGCAGCTCATGCAGCCTCAGGGGCACTCAGGATCCCTTTATTAGCATGGCTATTTTCACCCTCTTCTTCCACAGCCTGTCTATTCATTGAGCAGAGGCATCAACATGCACGCACGCTAAAACGTTCTGTCATGTCCTGGGCGTGCTCTCTCGCTTTCTCCTTGCTCTTTCTTAATCTGGGAAATGGAGTCAATGACATGCAGCAAGTAGTTACATTTGTACAGCAAAGCGTCAGCTCTCGGCCTCAAGCCCATTCATTTATAGTGATGGCAAGTATAAAGAGGTGTATATTGTGATTTTGTTGGGGGCTATTTTCAGCTACGAGTGTTAGAGGATAAATAATAACTTATGAATTTATAGTGCACAAAATGCTCAGAGAGGCAGAAATGATACAAAACGTGTAATTTAAAACATGAAATATGCACGTTTGTGTGTCTTTGAAGTTATCCCGATGGTCACTGGAGAAGGGAGTATTTGTCAGTGGAAGGGATTTGTATTATTTTTGTGGACTTTTTGTTTACAAAAAGGCTAACTATGTACGAGCGGGTACACAGTGTGCGCTTGTGTCTCCTCGAACAGCAAATCTGTCTTTGTGTGTCGTCTTCGTGCGGCCTCACAAACGTGTGTGACGGCGGCACGGAAAAGCAAACGGGAGAGCAGGAGGGACCGCGAGATTAAACACAAAGTTGGCCGAGTTTCATGCAATCCAATGCAACGCTGGCGCAAAGGAGAGCGCTTTTTCTGGGGGCTTTTCATAACCCTCTCCGTTATGAATTACTGCTTACGTAATCATCTGCTCTGTGCTGAGGTCTGACTGGTTGGCATTCAGGCACCCAGCAGCCTGCAGACCAAGAAATGAGGAGAAGCCTGGAAAATGATGCGACACCCCACCTGAAAACCAAACGCACAATACACTGCAGAGATACCAACACACCTGTGCTGTACACAACACTTCTCAAATTTATAATACAGCCCACACAGATAGAGAGAGGCACAATTGAATCCCGTTAAAAGGCCAATTATTTGCTTTAAATCAAGGGGCAGGTCTTTCACTATGACAGCAAACACAGACCTGGCTGCCTTTTTTTTTTTCTCCTTGGATAGCATCCCAAAGAAAAGCTTCATTTCTTTTTCAAAATGATCACAAATGTCTATAAGTTCTGGTTACGCTCCAGCTATAATAATTAAAAGACACTCAACTTACAGAAATGTAATGGTTTTGGCTGAAACACAAAGTTCTAATCCTGGTGTAATTATAATAAAAAATCAAACTCCTGCCAGTTTCATTGCCATCTGTTCTTTTTGACTTAATGTCATATTTTCTTTCTTCCTTCCCCCCTCTTTCCTTCATTCTCATTTGCAGGATTTTGAGGACTCAGTCGCTCGAATGGTATTATAACAATGTGAAGAGCCGCTTCAAGAGGTTCGGCAGCGCCAAGGTTCTGAAGACTCTGTACAGAAAGCACATTATCGAGAGAGGAGCACTCTCTGATCTCCCAGGTAACATCCTCTTCTCTATTTTTCTTAATCAGTCATGCAAGGGCTATGTCATGTTGCTATTGCTTTGTCATTTTATTTTTATCTTATAGTCCTTCTCTTCTGCATCAGTTCTGGTTGCAGAGCAGGATGCTGTCGCTGGCAGCGTTTGTGTTGTAATTAAAGCGATTTGGACAGAGATGTATGTTAGTCTTCTTTAAGTTGAAAAAAAGAGGGAGATGTGTGGTTTTGGTTGGACATTAAGAGCAAACAGACAAGCTCAGTTGATTGCTCATTAGTCTGCTTTGTTAATGATCACTCACTATGTTTCACACATTTTGCTCTTTCGCTCAATGATTCGCTTAATTGCTTTCTCGTTGGCATGTACAAACGAGGATTTTCTCACTCACATGCAGCTCCGGCTTTAACTTCTGGGTTGATGATGTAGCTGTATCTCGCTATTACTTCTTTGTTCACCTTCTTTTTTTTTTTTTTTTGAATTATTTCACCGTAACGTGACTTATTTGTTTTTGAGAAATTCACTTTCTGTCATGTAAATATTGCACTTTTCAACTGGTGAGTGAGGCGGTGTTGCTGTGTGCCAGAGCTGGTAATGGTGACAGACCGCGGCTGAGCTCCCCTGTGGACTCGCGCTGCCGGTTAATCTCAGGCTCAGGCCACTTTGCGTCCATGCAGGACAGCAGCAGGACAGCTTTTTTCAAGCCTGCCGCCACTCTCCCCTCCCCTCCGCTCCACATTACATTGTTTTGATCCGGCTGCATCATGATCGCACTGCGTCACTGGCTGACAACAAGGCATTATTTCATACCCTGCAACGTGGGATTAAGTGGATGAAGAGAGCACAGAGGGATAGATGAGGTCAGACTTGAGGCATAACTGGATGAGTTTGAGTTGAGGGGATGTTTAGGAATACACCATGACCAAAAAATTTTGTTTATTCTGTCTGGGGATTTGATAGGCCTGAGTGATATGAGCAAAATGAATACAAAAAACATGAAATCCACTACTATACAACCCACACAGTAGAGGAATTCAGCTGCAATACAAACTCTAACTGGCTTGTGATGCTAAATTTAAGGCTGCTACTGCAGAATTATTCAATTCACCCATTGACAGACATCTAGCCATCTGAAAAGTGAAAATTGCTAACTTGTTGGGCTAAAACATCTTTCTATCTTTGCATGGAAATTCACGTTTATTTCACAAAGCAGCTCAAAAACACTTAAATACAATGAGGATACTAATAAGATGGTTGAAGTTATTAAGAGTTAGTGAAAAATACACAACAAAAAAGTTGTTTGTGTGACTAAATGAAGAAATACCTGCAAAAATAATGATGGGGGTAAGAGCTTCATTTAATATACTGTATGTCAGTCATAGTCTGGAGGGTGAGGAAGTCAAAATTAAATATATAGAAATGCCCATCATGCAGGCATTTTTTTGACATTTTAGAGTTTATTTTGCACATTTGCACAGTAGGATGTCTTTCTGAAGGTTGGAAGCTTTCACAGGACAATCATGATTTTTTTTGTGACTGTAGCTTCTGTTCTAAAATGTTTCTCCTGTATACCTCCAGTTTTCTGATTTCCTCTTCAATTTTGTCCCCCTCAATCATCTACTCTTCATCCTACACTACTTTTACTAGCTCTCTCCTCTCCTCTCCTCTCCTCTCCTCCATCATCTGGGGAGGAGGAGGAGGAGGAGGAAGGATTATGTGACTCGGCTGATGGTCTCCCAGCTTGCATAAGCCCAACAGATTACACTGCTTCCAATTCTCAAATACTCGCATCGCCGCTCCTACTAACTGGCTAGCTGACTGGCCATATGATATGGATATACTGTGACGTGTGTGCAGTCCCTCTATGCCGCCTGTGTGCATCTTGATATTAAAGCTTTGGTGGCTTATACAGGAGAGCCTTAGATGTACTGCCTGTCAGACATGTTTTCCCTTTTTTTTCCCCAATTTTGTGTATTCGTGGCTGTGTTTACATGAAAAAATATCTTGTTTTTTTCATCCCTCGCCCACCCTCTTCATGTTATACATAAGACTAAATCAAAGGGGATTTTAAAACATGTCAAAAAGAAGCCAAGGCTGCATCTGTGGAAAAAAATGTGTCTAGCTTTTACTTAAAAAGTCCGTCTATAATCTCTTATGCAGCAAATAATAGCTCATGTCAAGTGTCTTGACAAGTATATAACAGTAACAGATTATCATCATTGCTATCAATACTTCTGTGCTTTCTAGTTGAACAAAATATAATGAGATTTTAGTTCAGCAAGAAAATCAGCGCTATGTTGGGGGGAAAAAATCAATTAGATAAAGCTGTTGCCCATTATCAAACTGATGTTACACCATCTCACTTGTTCTATTTTGCTCCAAGAAAAAGAGCTCTTATTTTGTAGCTCTGAAACTCAGCCAGAATTTTAATACCAGTCTCTTCTTGCATATAGAAAAGCAGCCACAGGAATGCAAAGCGCTCCCATAAACCATTCCCCCACCATATGTGAAATATAGGCTGCTTTTACACAAGTGCCAGTAAAAAATGTTTCATTTTTTATTATCACCAGGGGGCCAGTGCTGGCGAAATCAATTCTATACCGATGTGAAATGTCAGCTGACATGACAGACCGCAAGAGTGATGAAACTGTTTTACATCTATCATGTCCCCAAAGAGAAAACCGTGACCTTCAAACCAACAGAAAGAGAACAGGCGGTGAGCGATTTGTACTTTCATGTCCATCTTCTCTGGTGGAACGGAGTAGGGCTCCTGTGTGAACTGCAACAAATATCTTTCTGTCAATGTGTGCACATACAGAGACACACATAGATAGTGTCGCTTCTGCATGATAGCTGTGAGCCCTCTGGAGTTCTCATGTTAAAAATGAATGAAGTGTTGACCACGTGCTCTGAAGATGAACAAATAGCATATCTGAGCAGAAAGAATGAAGGCTTAAAGGAAATCGTCCACCTATTTTTCTTTTCGCTCTCCTCAGAAGTGATCTGAGTATCTCACTAAGTGGATCGACAGATGCCAAGCAGCGATCCAACCGTGTGATAAATTAGTGATTGATGCCTTTGATGGCAGAATGGCATGAAATCAAACAAATGTGTGCAGCAGTTGTGTTTTAATCATACATTAGTCTCCTCGTAAACACCGTCAAATTAAAAACTCAGCCTGCAGTCGGCAAGAGGATACATTCTTAGATGTGACAGAAAACAGTGGAGATCCTCCACAGAGTCATGATGAAAGATTAGAGGGAAAAAAAACTGTCCTCTTACATGTAATAAGCACATGCAGTGTGACAATGATTAAATGAAATGAACAGAATATGAATCTGTTTCAAATTTGATACAGGAAGTTATTTGAATTTTAATAGCAGAATTAAAGCAATTTATTTGATATGACATGAAGCGATAAATTGTCAGTTCATTTCAGTGCAAATCATTACACCATGCATGGTGGTAATGTTGCCTCACAGTGAGAAAGTTCTGGTTCTGGCTGGTTTGGGCCTTTCTGTGCGGAGTTTCCATGTTCTGCTTGTGCATCGGGGCTTTTCTTCATGAGTACCACACTCTTAAAAGCAATTCAAGGGAGCTAGTCCCACCACTTAATTAAGAGATACAAAATCTAATTTATGATTTAGATGCAGTTTTGAGTTGCAAACATGATTTTTGATGAGTTGGGTTGGCATAATGTTGCTAGTTGCATCAGCTTAACATTGTGTGTAACTTAAATTTCTACATTAGTTGCTATAAAAGTAAATTCAAGTTGACTTAACATAATGAGACTGGCTTGTTAACTTAAGTTTTCTTCTTATGGGATTCAGGATCTCAAGTCCACTCCCCTGTCCTAACATGTACAGATCATTTCAGATGTTAAAGCTGGTAATTTAAAATACATTTGATTGTAGTGTTAAATTTGGTTTGTTGGTTAAACGTAATTTCTTCAGAAGTTGTCATGACTCACAAAGAGTGATGCAAACTTTTGTTGTTGTTTTTTTCTTCTTTTTTTTTTCTGTTGAGCAGTTTCTTCTAGGTCTGAATGTGAATCACATTTACATGGGGTTAAGGTAGTGAATAGACTTAATGCACATCAATATCGAGGGTTAATACCTTAAGAAAACAACATTTAAAATGGTTAGCACTAGTGATGCACAATATTAAAATTTCTGTCCGATACTGATATCCAATATTAAGATTTCTGATATCAACGATAACCGATATTATCGATTTCGATTTCTGTAAGTAAACACGGTGAGAACGTAAAAACTATTCAGAAGAAGCCCATACCAAATTAGACCATATAGTCTTCTTTATTATTTAACAAAAGTAAACATATTTAAACATATTTAACATTCAAGTTCAAGTTTTTCACATCAGCTAAATTTGTTCATCGAACCAATACAATGGAAACAATACCAATGTTGGCCGATAGCGATGTGGTCACCGATATATCGTGCACGTCTAGTTAGCACTAACTAACATATTGTCTTGTTAATTTAATACGTACGAAATAGTTGTGCAAAAATAACAGTTTGTAGTTTTAGCGGGGCTAGTGCCAGATACCTCACAGTGACAACAAGACTCCTAGACATCACTGCACTGACTAGGAAACATTATTGTCCCTAACCCGGCCATACAATCACAATGTGTTGGTTTTTGTACTAATGCGTTACAAGGGAAGAATGAAGCCTTGGTGGCTCCGATGGCTGATCTGACAGGTGCTGATTGTTGAGGCAGGTACGAAAACAGGAACCAGGAAGTCCATCCATCCATTATCTATACACCGCTTAATCCTCATTAGGGTCGCGGGGGGGCTGGAGCCTATCGGAACCAGGAAGTTTTGTCTAATATTATACGTTGCGAACAAACGTTGAAAAAAAAATCAAGACTGCTATTTTCAGGTAAAACAATAAAATGTATGTATTCCTCAAGCACAGGCAAACAAACAGACCGATAGTTGTCAGCTCTTTCTGTGCATGTTTCCATGGTTGTGTAATAT